TCATCTTGCGCAAGCGTCCTTCGCCTGGTACTCTAGCTTTTAAGTTTGTTGATTTTATTTTGACAGATTTGTTTCTTAAATATAATTATAAATTATTGGGTAAATTTTTTATAAAGGAATATAAGTTGAGGTTTGTCTTTTATTTATTCCCTCATTTAGTGGGTTTGTGGGGAAATAGGAACATAGTTTGGTCACTATATAGACCCAGTTAGCGCCTTTCATTTGTTTACTATTTTAGGAATTTTTAATAGTTAACTACCCCCTAGCTGCCGTCTGAGCAACGTCGAAGGCCCGAAGGTTGACACCTGAACAACCGAAACTTGTGCAACCGAAGTAAATAGGATTTTATTGATAAAGTTATTTTTTTTATTTTGTAGGTTTAATTTTAAGTAATTCCCCTCTGGAAGTTGCTTAGAACTGTTGGTAGGTTATATGAATATAAAAAAATAAAATAATAATCATAGTGTCTGTAATGTAAATACCTATTTTACTAAATATATAATACGGACAAAAATCAATAGAAATTCGTTAAATGAACGTTTCAAGTTTTAAAACTCATGACTAGAAAACTCAATGCAAAAATATTGTGAAAATTACATTTTTTGAAAAAATCAAAGAAATGGACTATATAAAAATATGTATATGCAGATTTGAAAACAAAATTTACAAAAGTTGTTTTGGATGCCTTCAAATTGTCTTTATTACTTCTTGAGTCCATTGTAAGTTTAATAACGTGGTGTTGAATGAAACCATTGAGTGCCTCGTCAACAGGTTTTAAAATTTTTGTTAGATGCCAATGAAAATGTACAAGTAATGAAGCATAAAGGACAAATCGGCCAACAAAAGTGTCAAAGTGAATCAAGTATATCCTAATAGAGTGTGACAAAAAAATAGTTACCAAACAATCCACACTCTTCTAAAAATTTGCACGCAAGCAAAGTCACTGATTGGAGGTCGTTTTCCTTACTACTACACTTGAAGTCTTGATCTAGAGCAACTATGGTACAGAAAAGACTGGTTGCACCACCAAAAGTGGCTTTTTATCTTAATTTACTTTACATAATAGTTCCTTTTTATGCAGAGAAATAAACTTTTGAGTTTTTTAAATCCTATTAAACTTAAAACTAAATTAGAAAGTCTGTATTAAATTAAAATAAAATAAAATGTATATTGAATTTTAGTTATGTAGGTACATGTGTATCTACTTTGCATATATGGTTAAAATGGGATTTAATCTTTTAGTTATTTTTAATTAGTCTAAAGTACAACTTTCAAGATTAAATTTACAAACCTTTTTCTTAGGAGCACACCTAGAGTCCTCTCTAAACTAAGAAGTATTCCAAACTCCAACCAGACTCTCGGTAGTCTTCGTTTATCTAAACTTCTGGTCTAGATCTACCCCTGCTACATCAACAGTTACGCCACTGCGTTTAATTTCGCTGTTTACATATCGATTTAACCCGAAATTCTATCGTTCAAAACTGAAAAATATTAAACCACGTATTATCCTAAATACGAATGCCAATACATAGCGTTTTTGGAAATGTCGGTAATAAACAATTTCAATCGACGAATTTGGTGTCAAATGAAAAATAATCGAGATAATAATTGTACGAGTAGCTTTTGATGTAGAGCAGCATTTGTTTTTACGAAAAATGGGACATGAGCGTAATTGGAGAATCTTGTTTCATGATAAAATATGCTTAAGTTTAAGAGAATTGTCAATTATGCCAAAATTTTAAGAAAAGCTAAGAAATGTTGTGAAGTCCGCTTATTAATCTTCTACGTTTTTGATTTATAAGCTATTATTCAGTGTGACAATTTTAAATCATACAATGGGCTATAATCTCACAAACGAAAGATAATATCAAAAATGCTTGAAACTCTAGCTAGGATAGGAAGGGGGAACTAAAATGATTTAAAAGTGAACTCACCGCCATCAATGCCCTTGGCTTAACTACCTCAACTAAAAAAGTTTAAATAGAAAACCCCTACTTGTGTTACATCTTTGAAAAGCCTATAAAAATTCCTATCGATAAAAATAATTGTATCGATAATTTCCAAATTAATATCTAACAATTTTAAAAACATAACCTTATTTTCAATAATAAGTGTCCATAGGTATTTTTTGTTGTTAAATAAAAACTTTATTATATAGCTCATTGTAAATTTTTCAGTCGTCACACCGTATATCATATTTATTATTTTAAAAATAGAATTTGGAGTCCCACAAGGCACTTTCATTGGACCTATACTTTACTCACCACAAATAGTTCAGGCCAAATTTTCAGTTTCGCAGTTATTGTTTGCAGTTATTGTTTACAATTATTGTTTACAATTATTGTTTACAATTATTGTTTACAATTATTGTTTATTTACTTTTATTGTTTGTTTATATTTATTGTTTACAGTTATTGTTTAAAGTTATTGTTTACAAAGCTTGTGCTTGGGAAGCGTGCAATTAAAGCACATGGCGTTCTTTTTTCTTTACTGAACTGGCTCAAGCATGTAAAGCTAGTTTTTAATTTTGAAAAAAGACATTCTAATCTTTTTGTCAGCTACTCGTCTTCATCGCCAAAATATACATCTCTTACTTTAAGTAATGTAGGAACGGTCGCCATGGACAAGGACAAGAACAAATATAGTGTCCAACTTCTTTCAGAGCTATTCTAATCTTATGCAGAATTATTTAAGAACCACCCTGTATATTTTGGTTTAAATAGGATTTCTTAAAAATACTTTAAAAGACAAATATTTCTGAACAAATTTCATTAAACACAGTTTCTTAGGCCTCCCTCTCGAGTAAGTCCCCCTACACGCGTAATCAAGTTAAACGGACTCCTTATGTTCATTATCTCATTAATTAATTCCTCACTTCCTTCCTGTCTTCCTTCCGGCAGTTATTGAGTTAATAGCTTCGGCATCTATGCTTAACTTACACACAATAGTATTAAAATGGGTTCTTCGCAGAATATAATTCATTAGATTGCTAATTATTGATGTTTGATTGACAGCATACGGTTCTTACTAGTTGCAGTAATAAGTAGAGGAAAAATTCTATAAATCAGAATAAAGGATAACGTCGATATATCAAAAATTTTATCCATAAACGCAAAATTTCGAAAAAGTAATGAAAATAATTTTAAATTTGACTATTTAGCTTGGCAGCTATCAACAAATTGTAAAGATATTACACGAATCTTTAAAATCATCCAGTGGATAACTAAAAAGGGATTAAGGTGCAAACGTATTATAATAAATGCATAAATTATTGTGACAAGCTAAAAAAATGTTACTGAACGATATAAATAAATATTTATTATGATGCCTGACAACCGAGGTTGTCGTGTTATAGATGGGATGAGCTTAACCTTTGCCTTCAACTAGGAATGCTACATATAGTAGGGTTGGCGCTATAAAGGGTAAAGGAGGGCAACAAAAATAGAAATTAAAAACACTTTAAAAACTCTAATTGCATATTTTGCTTAAATTTATTTTATATTTATGTTATTATTAACGTAACCAAAGTATTACCTATATTTTAAAAAGGAGCAATAAATTTATTAGAAAACTATAGACCAATAATTTTAATTATTTCGATTTTTGGCAAACATTTTTAAAAGTATCTTAAATTATCGGTTGATTGAATATTTAAAGAGTAACAAAATACTTCATCATAACCAATATGGTTTTAGGAAAAGTATAACACTACATAAACAATAAAGAATGGGAATTTTGTCTCGTTAACTTTATGAGACTTGTTAAAAACTTTTAACTATATTATGTTTCTCAAAAACTCTTTTTTGACAATATGTTTAAATATGGCATTCTAGGATTACCCCACGATATGTTTGAATCTTATTTAACGAACAGAAAACAAGCAGTTTGTGCCAATATTATTATTTCAGATCCTATATAAAACATAGCGTCCCACAGGGGTCCATTAGGGGTCCTACCTTATTAATATTTTATACAAACGACATTTTCCATTTTATTCATTCATTAAAATGTGTTTTATTTGCAAAAAAATACGTCATTTTGAATAGTGGCTCAATTTTAGACGAGTTAAAGGGAAAACTATCTGATAGCATTCATGAGGTTAATATTTTAAAACTTAACGAAGACAAGAAACAGAAAAAGTTACTTCATTTCAAACATGGGTTGTCATGTGAAGTTTTACCTAGAGTACCTCAATACTCTGTTTTGGGACCACTTTTGTTTCTAATATACATATCTGATTTATACAAACAGGTCAATAATTGCGCTGTTGATTTGTTTGGTGATGACACTCAGAATCTTGTAAATCATGACTTAATTAATTAGTTTTTTTTGTTATAAAATTTTTTAAATTATGACTAACGTAGTTTTGAGAAGAAATCATTCTATATGTAAAAAAAAAGTTGGGGTGTACGCAATCCCCCAAATAATTAAAAAGATAAACAAATCTCTTTGTAATGTGCCCTATTGAAAATAAAAAGTGACGTGTTTTAGGAATTTTGAGACAAACCTTTATTTATCAAGTTACAGAATTTGTTCCAGTTAGACTTGCCACTCTGTATATATAGATATTTTAAAATTCTATTTTTTTAGAGTACCTTTTCATAAATTTTTGAGTTACATAATCTACGTCATTTTTCTTGTAAAAATCGATCCAGTTATTAAATTAAATGATATTCTTCTAGGTATTTTAAATTCCGAATACCATATTCTAAGTTTTTCAGTCACATGATTTTTAAACCTAATTTTAGAATCTATGATTATACCTTAATTGTTTCAGCTATTACTAAAATTGGACAAATAACTGCTGTCAATTTTTGGAGTTCACTACCAAACAAATTTAAAGGATTTTTATTTTCCTATTATCTCACAGGAAACTTATCTACCCGAAAATCAAAGGCGACAAGAACAACATCTTTACTGTTTTAACCTAGACAAATTGACATATCCCCACTGGTATGCGTATGTGTATGTGTCCGCGTGTACTGATCCATTCCACTTACCTTGAAGCACGACGACACAATCCGTATTGTTCGTGTAAGTTTCAGCCGGATATCCCGGACTGAAAAATTGGTTATTTGTGACGTTGACAAACGGCTTACAAGCACCGGCGATGGGTTCCTCGGGAAACAGGTTCAGCGTTACGGAATTCTCGGTGACGGCCTCCCTGGGGACTCTGTCACCTGCGAAAAACCAAAAATTAATTGCGGGGGATGGAGAGATGAAGCGACCGAGACAACGAGGGGTTAAATACGATTCGATACGTGTTTGAATTTGGAAAAAATAGGGTTCAAATCTAATGATTTGTTTGTGTTATGTAATATTAACAAAAGTTTAATTTAATATAACCCATTTTTGTTTTGAAAATTATTAAAATAAATTATTCTAAAATGTTTATATAAACAGATTAAGGACAAAATGAGATTTTTTAATCTCTTTAATGTTATATTTTTGACAATTTTTTTTTTATTATACTTGAGTCCCTATATCAGTGGTCGCCAACCTGTCGATCGCGAGCTACCGGTAGCTCGCGGAGGCAATTCTGGTAGCTCTCACAACGATATTAATTTAAAAAATACAAACTGCAAAAATCAGAGAAGCTTCCGAAAATTCCACAAAAAAATCTAATTGTCATAATATTAAACATAAACAGCGGCAACGTTGCGGTGAGCGATCTGCCGCTGACGCCATCAAGCTAGAATCGGCTAGAACCGACCAGCCAGACCAGCACGTTAGTGTTCGAGAACGATCAGGATTGCTTTGAACGGGATAAATACGCACGGCGCGGCGACATTGCGCTTAGTTTAAAACTGAACGCGTAACTAACGTCCAGCGGTTGGGTTAGTACAGAACAACAAAAAATAATATTATGGCAAGCAGTTGTAAGAAGGTAAAGACATACCACTTTCATTCGGAATGGGAAGAACAATACTTTTTTACAGAAGTTAAAGATAAAAATGTGTGTTTGTTATGTAATATTTCGGTCTCCGTTGCTAAAAAAGGAAATATTGAGAGACATCATAAAACTGCACATTCTAATTTTGAAAAATCATTCCCACTACATTCTGCCGCCAGAAAGGAGAAACTAAAACAGTTAAAAAAGCAGTTAATTGGACAACAATCAATACTTTTAAGAACAGTCGACAAAAATAAGGCTGCAACTGAAGCACCGTACCGTGTGTCCCAGATAGTTGCACAAAAAAAAGAAACCTTATGAAGACGGGGAAATGATAAAACAGGCGTTTTTAGAAGCTGCTGATTCGTTATTTGCCAAATTTAGAAATAAAGACGAGATAGTTTCAGCTATAAAATCTATGCAACTTTCTGCTAATACAGTGATGAGACGTGTAGAAGTAATGAGCAATGATATTTTTTTACAGTTAAGAACTGACTTAGATAACTGTGTTTATTTTTCACTTCAACTGGATGAATCAACAGATGTCGTTGACACTGCCCAGATGGCCGTGTTCGTCAGGATGGTTTTTAGTGATTTTACGATTAAAGTAGATCTTTTGATGTTTATTCCACTAAAAGGACACACTACTGGACAGGAGTTGTTTTCTCATTTAAAAAATATTATTTCTTTCGAGAAAATTCCAATATCGAAAATGGTAGGCTTGACAACCGATGGCGCTCCAGCTATGGTGGGTTGTGATAAGGGTCCAGTGGCGTTATGTCGTAAAGATGTAATTTTTCCGCAATTACTCTGTTACCACTGCATTATCCATCATCAAGCATTATGTGGAAATTTCCTGAAACTAAACAACGTTATGAAACTGGCGGTAAAAATTGTGAACAAGATTAGAGCTCAAGCATTACAAAGAAGATTATTCTAAACCTTGGCCGATGAAGTTGACTGTCAATACGGGGACCTACTCCTTCACTCTGAAGTCCGATGGTTAAGTAGAGGACGGGTGCTAAAACGTTTTAATGATGTCCTATCTGGCAACCGACTCCGGAACTAGAAAATTCAATCTGGCTTAGAGATTTTGGTTTTCTCGTGGACATTACAGAGAAATTAAACGAACTTAATTTGCAGCTTCAGGGGAGAGACAAAGAACTAGCGGAAATGATTTCTGATATGAAAGCATTTATCAAAAAACTGGAGTTTTGAGAACAAAACCCAATTAACAGCGATGCCAAGCATTTTCCTATTCTTTCAGAAAAAATATCTCAAAATCCATTAGAACCCTATGACAGCAAATATCATATAGAAATAGTTTCTATCCTGAAGAATAATTTCAATAATCGTTTTAAGGATTTCAACGAAATGGCTTTAGTAGCGCAGTTTGTTATTTCACCCTTTATGGAAATTGATATTCAACAGTTTGCAACTTGTGTTATGCAGAACTTTGGCGAAGACATCGCTGCAACAGAGATGGAAGTAATTGAGTTACAAAATGATTTAGCCTTAAAATCGTTAGTCTCAAGTACCAAATGTATCTGACCTATTGTAAGTAAAGAGACATAATCAGTTCTATGCCGTGTTGCCTTGAAAGTGAAAGCATTATTCAGTTCAACCTATTTGTGTGAACCTTCTTTTTCCAATATGAAGTTTATTAAGAACAAATATAGCAATCGACTTACAGATGAACATTTGGATAATTGTATTCGAATGGCTGTATCAAATTATACTGCAAACATTAAAAAAATTATCGATGAGTCTGAGTGTCAGCCTTCTCATTGAACGTGCTTTTTTATTTTTCAATGTTTATGTTCATGATAGTGCGTTACTTTTTTATTGTTATTATTATTAACTATTTTTAAATCTTACCCGACATGCCGTTGTTGTGGCTGGATAAAAGTTTGTGTTTATTTTTCAAACACCTTCGTTTGGTAGGTAGGAATGTAGCTATGAACAAGTACGTACTAGTAATATTAGTTATTTTGTTATTAGTTTATTATTAGTACCTATGTATTATGTATTACCAGTTAAATAGTAAAATAAATACACATAATGATAAATTAACTGTGGATTATTTCATTTACGTTGCGTTACGTGGATTCCGTGTGGGTAGCTCGCTGTTTATTCCAAAATTAACAAAGTAGCTCAACACATTGAGAGGTTGGCGACCACTGCCCTATACTATAAAACGAATAAAAATTCATATGCTTACTTTCGGCTATAAATAATGATAATTTAATTATTTTTATAATTCAGTTAATTTCAAAATTAAATTAAAGGAGATTTTAAATTTATTGTATTTTAATAGATGTTCGGACGCCACTGGATCTGAACGAGTTAATTTTCTCTAGAACAGAAGTTCCCAAACTTTTTTTTATCTGGTAGACCACTTGCCATGTTTTTCTGTTGTAAATAGACCCCTGTTTAGCTAATAATGCATTTTTTTAAATTAATCAAATTTAAATGTCTTTGGACTGATTTATAGATTGTTCTATTGTCCTTAATGTGAAGTTTATATAACACTTGAAGCCTTAAATTTGGAGGAATCAAACTCACCACTTTAAGTATTATTATTCTTTATTCATTAACTGTTAATACAAGAATGATATCTTTCTAATGTTGTACATACACATCGATGTACTACCTAGACGATAACAAATCAACACAAAAAATAAATAATTATTCCACTGGCGTATCAGTTATATTTACAATATACAACATAGATAATATATAAATGTCACAGTGACTAATGCATTTTCTAATTTTAAAGAATAACAGTCATTCTATCAGAAGCAATATTTTTATTTAAAATACTCTGCTGAACAAATAAACCTAACAGGTTATGGGCCCAGGACACCTATAACCAGTAGAAGAGATAGTATAAATAAAAATTTGAACACTTATTAAGAAATAAAACCTGGACATTTGATAAAGTTTTTAAATTCATATGTGTTTTTAAAACTAAATACAATGCAGATGAAAAGCTGGAGAGATTCAAAGCTAGATTAGTTGCTTTTGGAAATAGGTAGAACAGTGAAAAAACCAGAAAGTTTTGGTTATGTTTAAATAATGTTAATTTTATTAATAATATTTCTTATATTTTGAAATTTATTTTTTGTTGAAGATTCTTGATATTAAGGTAAATTTAAATAATACTTTTTTGTTTTGGTTTGTTATTTAAAAAACAGGGAGATGTAACATATGTTATTAAAGAGCCGCCTATAGCTCTGTTGTCAGTCAAACAGATAGACTCCTCGTTGATATACTGAATAAAGTTAGTTCTCAACCACAGTTTAATTTCAAAATATCTAATAAACACGATAAAACAAGAAAAACCCGCAGAATCAATACTGGCCTTACGTTTTACTAGTGCCATCTGGTGGAGAAATGTGAGCTGTCAGTTCTCATTGAAATAAAACAAAATTATTTAAAACAAGAAGTAAATTATCCCATTTTAGAATTCCAAATGTAACAATTTCCGCCATTTTCCATCGCAATAATAAAAAACAAACTTCAACCCTAAATCACCGGACGTGTGGTCAGCCACAAAACCACCAAATATCAATCGAAGCAAAAGTCAATTTCTCCTCCACGTTCCCGTCTTCCATTTCGACGGCCCTTTTACAAATTTTCCACTCAGGCAACAACAAAATTACATTAAAAGTTGAACGTCGACAAAATGTGATTTCATTTGCACTTAGTCACAAAAGGGCGCCATTCAGAAATATTCAGAGAATATGTGTGCCTTTCCTCTTTTCTTCACGCTTGAAATATGCTTTCGGGAGATGCTGAAAGACTTCCTGGATACGTGGGGGGAATCGGTCGAGAAAAAGGGAAAATAACGTGCTGGTGCATGTGCTTGCGTCGATTCGGTACATTATGTCTATTCTGCGATCAAATTAGGAATGAGAATGGGACGGAGTGGAGGAGATTAATGAATGTCTATTGTAGTTTTATTATTTGTTTAGAAATGATAACAACAGTGGGATTGATTAACGTATTGTTTTACTACTCGTATACTTGAACTGATTTATGAGACATTCACTACCTGTACTTTAATGACATTCGTTAAGATACTGATTTTTATATTTTTATTAGAATACAAGTTTATATGTATAATGAACACTGCTATCGCATTCAAATAATGCTGTATGCGTGTCGTGATATCACCTCATTAAAACGGCAGTAGCTGAAAACTCGAGAAACAAATCCTTTAATACACAATACACTTAAATAGTCTTGTAAACTAAAAAAATATAAAGCTGCTTTGTTAGTTGGGTAATCTTAATTTTTTAGGTTTTACGGTTCTTCATATACATTTGTATTCTTCAAATGATGAAAGAAGACCAGAACAACGTTCCTCCATTTTGCAGGATGGAAACAGTTATAGAGGATACAACTATTTTCAACTTCTAAATTCCTGAATGTCCTTTTCAGAGCATATACATCAAAATTGAGACGCAATAATAGTTCGCCACACCTGAGGTTTTATTAAAAGGTAACTGATATTTATAAGAGATTTATAAGTTTTCCAGATTTATAACAAGTTTTGTAAAGCACTCAATAAATACTTTAAGTTTTATAATATTGCATCTAAAACGTTTTGATTACTTCATCCATAAATCCATTAGTGTTGAATTATTTAAAGTTGTGTAAAAAGGTTTTATAGCATCCTTGGAGAGTACAAAATTTGTAAGACATCTAATAAATATCAAAATATCTAAAGTTTTATAATATTTCGTCTAAAACGTTTCAGTTACTTCATCTATAAATCTGTTATTGTTGAATATTTAAAGTTTTTTTGGGTTTTATAGATTGTTACTTAAAAACTCTTATAAATATTAAAGTACTCAATAATTATTCCGTAGCTCCTTTAAAATTTAAGGAATATTATAAAACTGACGCCTTCTAAAAAAAGGTTATGTTTTTGAGGACATGTTGTTCGATTAAATATTCTGCAAAATGTCACCAACTAATAAAAATATAAGTAGTAGCTTTTATAGAAAGTGGACCACTTTAACAGACATTATCATCATTATTATAATTATTGTCCATTTTTTGCTATTACAGGTCACACTGAATGAAATAAACTCACTTTTTTGTACATTTAAGAAACAAAAACAAACTTAACAAATAAGCCAATTCTCTATAAAACAAGGTTATGTTATGTTATGTGGGCATTAGACATTTGCTCATTAATAGATTTCTATTAGTTTGTTGGTTAGTTACAGTTTTGTACCAAAAACAAAAGTGTCTGTGTACGGTTTTAGTAGGTATCTCAGAAAACTATATGTATCAGAAAAGCATCTTGGGTTTTATTGCAAAATAAGAAACCTATATAAGTGTTATAGAAGTTTCTAAGTTTATTTTCCTTGTTATTCTTTCATTCCAAATATCAAAATAACAGTGTTCTGTGAACTTAGATTATACAGTTTGTCTCAGAATTTATTATTTATATAGTGTATCAAAATTGTATACAGATTTATTTTATTGATAAATATTATTATTGTTGGTAATTTTATTTTTTTTCTTCATAACACAACAGTACTTATTCGTTACGAAGGTAACAATGTCAAAATTGTATTTTTATAATCATTACTATGTTTATTTTCTGTTCTTTTCTCTTAATTTTAACTTAGCTTCACTATAGTTATTTCCTTTTCAATTATTGTCACTTTAAATCTATTTTATCCTTAATTATTTATATATTAAATGGAGCTTTTTGTAGTTCTTAAAACTTATCTATTATATATCACAATATGTTTTGAAATTTCAACCTTTAAGCAATAAGTTGGATAAACTTACCTAAACTTGTTTGTTTCAATAGTTCTACAGGAGAAACAGCATTGATGAGCAGCACAAGAACTGAAAAAAAAAGAGCTATTTTAATACAATGGTTTGTTACACACTCTTATTTTATTTTATTTTTTATTTATACACTGTCGCCTTTTATAGAATGACAAAATACCAAATTAAAATTACAAACTTACAGGAACAGAAAACAAAAAAAAACATACAATCTTATAAGAGTAAAAAATAAAAGAAAATAAATGTGAATCTTTGTAATATTGTGTGTAAGCTTAAAATACTTTAAGAGAAATCAGATAATTCTTGGTGTTCAGATTTGAACATTTTTCTTTATATTCACCTAATAAATTAACATCCTGTATACGAAATTAATTATTTTATTTATTTAAAATGTTTAATTTCATACAGCGTTCCAATTTCGTATCTAGTTCGATGTGTAAATTAAAACAACAAAAAATAACAATTACAATTATTTAATAATTTAAATACACATTGAAACCATATTATTCCAATTTCGACCTCGTTCAATGTTTTGCAAATAGTTTATTTTTGATTAAGTCAGCATTTTTATTATTATAATTTACACATCGAACTAGATACGAAATTGGAACGCTGTATGAAATTAAACATTTTAAATAAATAAAATAATTAATTTCGTATATTAGGTGAATATAAAGAAAAATGTTCAAATCTGAACATACTGGCGACTCTCATCTTAAGTCACGAGGATTTTCGTTCCTGACTCTGAAATTCGATCATCTCTGCGTGGTTTGGCGGTGCTGTTGGACCAGGGCAGAGATGGTAGTAGATCTTTTTCAATAAGACCCATTGAACTATTAGTGTAGGTAACACAATAGAGGCTGTAAGGAATTCGATATATAGTTGTGGTTCTTGATTTTCTTTCAGTTTTCCTCATGTACGTCATCTTGAACGGCATTTTCTTCGGAATTTATGGAATTTAATTAATCCGTCTAAAGCGTTGATGCTTCTTGGGTCTGAGTATGTAGAACTTCAATCGAATGGAAGTTCTTTGGTTGTATAGTTGTCGAATTCGCTTGATACGAGCTTCGATTTGTTATTAAAGTATTGGTGCTTCTTGGATTTTAGTATGGAGAACTACAATCGAACGTTGAATGCCTCTAGGGTTTGAGTATTAAAAAATTCAATGGAACGGAAGTACCTTGGTTGTATGGTAGTCGAATTCGCTTGACACGTGCTTTGATTTGGTTTTAAAGCGTTGCTTCTTGGATTTTGGTTGGATTTGTTCGAAATTGTGTTATTGAGGCTGGCAGAAAGACTTCAATTTCTTGTTTTTCTTCATGTTGAAGTTTGTTTCTTCCATAGGTTTTTTCAAAAATTTTAAACTTTTGCTCGAAGGACCATGAATAGATTTCAAAGCTTAATTGTTGTAATTATACCACAAGATGGTTTTCATGAATCTCATTTCAGAGATAATTTTGTAAAGTAAACTACCACATGTTCTTAGTCAATCTCAATGAGCAGAATGGGAATTGTGTGTTTTTATTTTTAATACTATTAGAGAAAATTATTTCAATGTATTAAAATAGACAGTAGGATGTAGTAAACACAAATCCGAACTGTCAATTCACATTATCTTTCAAAATATGTTCTAAATACTTTAATAGCATCAATCAAAAACTTTAATACCTGCCTCAGATAATATGACAATCACTACTTTCTGACAAATAAAATGAATTGAAAGTGTAAGGTCAATTTACGAACACATATTGATAGTTTTCTTAATTAAAAAAAAGTCAAGTTAAAAATAGACCTTTGATTAATGCCCAAAAAAGAAATTGTTCAATATCTTTGACAGGTATCCGAAGAAGTTTAAAAATCATAAAAATTAAGTCACACTAACAACACTATATTCGTTTTTAATTATTAGTTTCTGATATAAAATATAAAAAAAATATGAAATAATTTTATCAAATATTAACTATTATGAAACCGCTGCACTGTAAATTCCAAAGGACTATTCTTCCTGGAACAGGATCTCTGCTATACTGAATACGTTTCGTTTGAAGCACGCAAAAGTTTTAAACTGAACACGGAAAACACCTAAAGGGGTTTCTGTGTTTTCAAACAGTTGATGTATACGTTGTTCATTTAATGGAAATATAGTATTATATGCAATGTCGGAATTCAGCATCAAACGTGACTAGTGACTATCCAGACTTTAAGATCTTTCTTGAGGCGGTGACTGGTTTTATTTTCATCACCAAGATGGTTTTAAAATACCCCGCACACCGCTTATAATAATAAAATGTTTATTCGAACAAAAAACAAATATATAAAAATATGAAATAAATACAAATTTAAATAAATATGAAATAAGTACAAATACAGTATAAATTTGAATGTAAACATTGATGACTCGCTGAGGCATTGCAATGCCTGTGTGCTAGCTAGTTTATTTTGAAACATTTAAAGTTCGACATAGAATAATAAGAAATAAATAAATAATAAAACAAGTAATAAAACCAAAAGTATCCGGGTTGGGACATCAGGTGATAGGTTTTATTAGGGAGCTATAGATATATTCGGTAATTAATGATCGGATCATACAGCATAACAACTCCAACATTATTGTTTATCAACAGGGACATTTACATATACTTTTTAAATCGAATATAATAACAAAATAAATCAAATATCTACCACTAGTATATAACACTTTAATTGTCATAAAAAAATCTGTGCACATGATTGTTTTTAATAAAAAACTTTGATTACCATTTGGTTTATTTTGTGTCCCATTTTGTTTTTTTTTAATTAATAGCTTCACTGTAGCTATTTTTTTTTTCAATCATATAAAAACTATATTCATTTTCACTTTGATTACCATTAGGTTTATTTTGTGTTCTACTTTGTAAATTTTTAATGAATAGCTTCACTATAGCTATTTTTGATAAATTAATTTCTAATTTCTAAATGTTGCTTCTCCATAATTGTTGTACACTTATTAATAACATACCAACAAAAACTTTTTGTTTGTATAAAAAATGCGATTGTATATAATACCTCATTTGCAATTATAGTGTTACAATTTAGACATTTTTGCTACTAATATACAAAACATCTGTTGCATAGTGCCAGCAATTCGAAATCAATCTCCACATTCCGTACAACTGTTCACATTGTATTTCTCTCAACCGTAACACGATTGCTAGCCATAAAATAGGATATAAAAATACTCTACAAAAAATTACGTAATAGAGATTAAATAATTAAAATTTACGAGCCAGACCGGAACCATAAATGGATAAAAAGTATCAGAGGAGAAAAGATCATTGAGATAAACATTTTATTATAGTTTGAGATCGCGAAATGATTACTATCCCGTATTAAAGTCATTTCAACAAGATGAGGGGCGAGAAGCAGAGGCGCGGTAGAAAATCTAAATAGCCCGATTCAGAAATCCTCTTTAAATTTATCCATACGTAAATCCTTAATTTATAGTGAATCCTAGAGGGTATTCAACTGCCTAAACCACGAAGAGGACATATATCTGGAAATCATTTTTGTTTCATAATTTATAGATATAGAATTTAAATTGAATTATTTAAAAAGTAGTAAGTGGGCAAATAAATAAAGAAAAATATATATTAACCACCTGTTATATATGGATGACCTGAAGGTAGTCGGAAAAACTGAAACAGATTTAGAAGAACAGCTGGTAACAGTCAAAAAGGTCAGCGATAATATACAAATGGAGTTCGGGATAGATAAATGTGCAAAAGCAATATTTAAAAGAGGTAAACTACAAAAGAAAAGTAACATCGTTAAAAGTGAGTTTCAATTCCACCAGTTAGAAGAACAAGAAAACTATAAGTATTTAGGCATAGAGGAAGGAGAGAGGATAGATCACAAAAAAATCAAAGATCAACTAAAGAAAGAATACAGAACACGAGTACGTATGATCTTAAACACAGAACTATATAGCAGAAATAAAATAAAGGCGATAAATCAAATGGCCCTCCCAGTTCTACAATATAGTTTTGGTATAATAAATTAGAGACTGCAAGAAACTAAAGGTCTAGACAGAGGAACAAGAAAACTTCTTACTATGCATAAAATGCAGCATCCTAGAGCTGATGTAGACCGCTTATATATATCTAGAAAAGAAGAAGGTCGAGGTTTGCAACAGATAGAAGCAGCATTCAAAGCAACCATGCTCAATATGAGTGAATATTTGTTGAAGAATAATACAAATAGGTTTATAAATGTCATCAAAGAATATGATAAAGAATTACCAAAAATTAGATCAATTACTAAATTAGCAGCAGAACTCAGAACATCTTTAGAGCTAGAGTATAACCCAATAGAAAGTGTGAAAAAAAGTAAACGTTAAATAAAATTTGGAGTGAGTAGTAGGGATTAAGTGTAAGGGGTTAAACCCCTTACACTTAAGTAAAATAAAATCTAAACTAAGCGCAGCAATAACAACTAGTTGGAAAGAAAAAGTCATGCACGGTCAATATATAAGGCAAAACGAAGAACAACCAGAAATAAACAAGATACATACATTCAGCTGGTTAGCTAAAGGAAACATAAAAGGGGAAACAGAGCTTACTGATAGCAGCTCAAGATCAAGCCATTAACACAAGGTACTTCGCAAAAAATGTGCTGAAACAGGCAGTAGATTCCAAATGTCGAATATGTAACACCAAGGACGAAACAATTAACCATATTCTGTTATACTGCTCAATATTGGCCAAAAATGAATACATAAAAAGACATGATAATGTAGCAAAGTTAGTACACCACAGCATAAGTAGGGACATTGGAGCTGAAGTCACCAAGAATTGGTACCATCACTGCCCTGAACAAGTGATTGACAATGAAAACGTAACGGTTCTGTGGAACCAACAAATATAAACAGACAGGCACATAACAGCAAATATACCTGACATAATAATTAAAGATAGACAAAAAACCTGTGTACAATAATAGATATTGAAATTCAACTATTATTTTTGGATCCGTTAGGTAGTTTTTAATGGTGCTTCTTAGGTATTTCTAGATCTCTAGTT